GTCTCGATCTCCTGACCTCGTGATCCGCCCGTCTCGGCCTCCCAAAGTGCTGGGATTACAGGCTTGAGCCACCGCGCCCGGCCTCCTAGTAGTCTTCAAGATATATAAATTGGTTAGCTATATGGTACAGCATTTCGACCCTTGCATAAAAAAGGTAGTAGAATTTGGCGAGTCCAGGAATCTAATTCTCTACTGGGGTAGCACTCTAAGCTTAGGATTCTGTTATGATCCTGCATCTTACACACATATTAGATAACATACTTCAATTCCTATCAATTCTGATATGACCAGAAGCTTTTCTGATCCTTCTGCCAGAATGTTGTGACATCTGCCTTGAATGTACCTTCTGTGCAAGGTGCTTCAATATGGAAACAGGCTGTATGACTGCTTTTAAAATTGATCCATAATAGTTGTACATGTTTATGGGGTATACGTAATATTTTGATACACACATACTGTGTGTAATAATTAAATCAGATTATCCATCACCTCAAAATATTTATCATTTCTTTGGGTTGGGAACATTCAAAATGTTCTCTTCTAGCTATTTTTGAAATATACAATAAATTGTTATGAACTGTAGTTGCCCTACTATGCTATCAAACACTAGAACTTCTCTTTCCAACTATATTTTTATTATTTATTTATTTATTTATTTATTTTTTTGAGATGGAGTCTCGCTTTGTCACCCAGGCTGGAGCGCAGTGGCGCGATCTCGGCTCACTGCAAGCTCCGCCTCCCGGGTTCACGGCCATATCTCCTGCTCAGCCTCCAGGTACTGGGACACAGGCGCGCACCACCACGCCCAGAATAAATTTTTATTGATATTTTTAGTAGAGACGAGGTGTTTTCACGTGGTTCGCCTCAGGAGGTGTCTCGATCTCCTGAGACCTCGGTGATCCACCCGCTCGGCCTCCAACAGTGCTGGAATTAACAGGACTTGAGCCCACGCGCGCCCGGCTTCGCATAACTATATTTTTTTACCATTAAACCAGCCTTTCTTCCATTCCCTATCCCCTACTATTCTTAGCCGATTGATAACCCACCATTTACTCACGTACCCCCATGAGATCAATTTTTTTGCTCCTTTACATGTGATGAAAATGTATGATATTGTTTGTCTGTTGCCTGCCCTTATTTCTTTTTTCCTTTCTTTTCTTTCCTTCTTTTTTTTGTTTTTTTTTTTTTTGAGCGAGCGAGAGTCTTGCTCTGTCTCCCAGGCTGGAGTGCAGGTGGCGCCAGATCTCGTCACTGCAACCCTCTGCCTTCCAGGTTCAAAAGTGGTTCTCATTTCCTCAGCCTCCTGAGTAACTGGCCGCTACAGGCATTGCACACCACGCCCAGCCTAATTTTTTTTTTGTATGTTTTCAGAGACACGGGGTTTCCCATGTTGCCAGGATGATCTCGATCTCTGACTTGTGATCCACCCTCCTTGGCCTCCCAAAGTTGGTCTGGGGATATATAGGAGTGAGCCACCGGCTGTGAGCCGACTTATTTCACTTTAATTCCAGTTCTATCCATGTTGCTGCAAATGATGAGAAATATTTATTCTTTTTTTTTTTTTTTTTTTGAAACAGGGTCTCACTCTGTCACTCAAGGTGTGGAGTGCAGTGGCACGGTCATGGCTCACTGCAGCCTTGACCTCCTAGGCTCAAGCAGTCCTCCCACCTCAGCCTGCCAGCTAGCTGGGACCATAGGTGTACACCACTACATCTGACTAATTTTTATATTTTTTGTAGAGTCAGGGTTTTGCCATGTTGCCCAGGCTGGCCTCGAACTCCCAATCTCAAGCAGTCTTCCCACCTCGGCCTCCCAAAGGCATGAGCCACCACACCTGGACAAGAATTTTATTCTTTTTTATGGCTGAATAATATCCCATTGTGCAGATATACCACATTATCCATTTGTCCATTGATGGGCACTTAAGTTGATTCCATATCTACCTTCTTTTGGATATATATCTAGCAGTGAGATTGCTGGGTCATATGTTAGTTCTATTTTTAGTTTACTGAAGAACTCCCAGACTGTTTTCCACAGTGGCTGTACTAATTTACATTCCCACTAACAGTGTCTGAGCATTCATTCCCTTTTCTCCACATCCTCACCAGCATCTGTTATTTTCTGTCTTTTGAGTAACAGCCATTTTAACTGGAGTAAGATGATATCTCATTGTGGTTTTGATTTGCATTTCCCTAATGATTAGTGATGTTGAACATTTTTTAACATACCTGTTGGCTATTTGTATGCGTTTATTGAGAATTGTCTATTCAGATCTTTTGCTCATTTTAAAATAAGATTTATTTTTGTTGCTATTGGGTTGA